AATTCAAGATATCTTAAATGACATTTTGACTAGTGAAAATTCCTTTCGCGATATCTCAAATTACGACAGCGGATTATTCATTTAAAGTGTCACATATCAGTAATTCATATGTAGGGGCGCTGAAAATAACAGTAAATGGAGCTGATTTAACTTTTCCTCCTGTGGATTAAACTGACAGTAAGGATTTTTTTAATGAATGATCCTCCTGGAAGCCCATTAAAAAGATCATTACATATTTTGACTAGTCAGAATGTCAATTTAAGATATCTTTAATGGAAAAGCTGAATAATTCAAGTTTAAGATATTTATAATTTAGTTTTCACTAGTCAAAACTGCATTTCTCCCATCCTAAAATACATTTAAGATATCATGAATTATCGTGCCATTTAAGATATCTTTAATTAGAATTATGAATAGTCTAAACTAAACTCGAGATATCTTGAAATTACTTTATTACTAGTCAGTAATTCATTCTAGATATCTTAAATTGACTCCTCCATACACGTTAATGGTAAATCTGACATAATTTCAAATAGTCAGAATGTATTTAGAGATATCTCGAATAGGTATTTTGACTAGGGAAAATATAATTAGAGATATCTTAAATCGCTAAAACGTCTAGTCATAAAACAATTTGAGATATCTTGAATGTAAAGGCATTACAACCAAATTTATGTTAAAATGGTTTGCCATAAGGGTATCACTATGCTATAAAAGTTGTTGGGGACGCTCTAAGGGTGGTGGCTAGTGGACCTACAGCTACTCAACCCGAACACTTTCAATAGGGTTTATATTTTCCCAAAATTAGCTCAAACATATATTTATTGAATGCTTTCCTATTGTTGAGAACACAATAATACCACAGTACACTGATATTTATAGTTCTAGACAGATGCCTGCCTTTAGTGCATCATTTATAAAGGGCTCAAAACATTAATATATAAAAAATCATGAATAACACTGAAAAAATTATTGCAACCACTTTTGGCATTTACTTAATCATATTTAGTTTCTTTAACAAAATTGTCCTTCCTTCCTAACATTAAACAATTGTGTTAAAGTAACTAAATATGATTAAGTAAATGCCAGAAGTTGTTGCATAAATTTTTTCAGTGGATACCGATGGCAACATCAATATATCAGGAATCCCTAGTATGAACACAACGTCAATTCATCCATCCATCCATGCATGGCTTCCCTTTCAGCTGCATCAGTGATTATCCTCCTTCACAAGCAGCAAAATCAAATTTAGAGATTTGTGCCATATGTCGTCGATAGCTAAACTCTATGTATTGAACCGTATATTTCAAAAGTCATTTATGCACTGATTTTTATTATTTTTGCTTTAATTCTAGTAGGTTTCTTATATTTTAATTTTAAGTCTGTGTCCTGTGTGTCTGGCTGTCTCTGGGTTGGCTGGAATAGCTATTTCTGAGTCTTGTTGAACTACAAAAGACAAAAAGATATGTTGAGTTTTATTATAGCATTGCATATTTTTTTCTTGTAAACCTGGGGACATATTTTATTGCATGTTGCATATCCCAGTAAATCTGATTCACATTTAAATCTGAAGCTCTCCCTCATTGTGTCTCTTCTCTGCTTAAAAACAGATTTATGAACCTGTCTACCAATATAATGATGCCAGAGAAACACATTTTCAAGATATCTAGAAGTTCTGCAGTCTGATTCTCTGTTAAATAAGAAAACAACTGATATGTGATAATTTTAATAACTCTGAGTAATGGTCCTCCGCGAAGCCTTTTAAATTATATAAAGGTACACTCTCTTGCCATTTTTAGCTGAAAAAGCTCCATATGTGTAACAAACAGATTTCTCGGTAGCATGATCTCTATTTTTTTTTTTTTAACCAACCCCTCTCCTAACTTTTACTGAAACATAAATGCTGCATAAATGTTGCTGTGTCTCTCCCCTTAACTGTTGGCTAAAGGAAATGAGTGAAAAGGGGGGAAAAAGCAGAAAGCATTGGTGGGGACTGTCCCCTCCATGCCAAAGTTGGTGGGAACGTGTCCACCCCAGTCCTTCAGAAAGTTACGCCAGTGCTTTTTAGCCCCATATTTATATGTATTTTAGACCTTCTAATGTGTTATTATTACCTTTAATGAAACAAGTATAACCTATGGTGATTTGCAATGCCCACTAATGTGCAATAATACAAAGAAATTAACAGACAGACAGACAGATAGACAGATAGACTGATAGATAGATAGATAGATAGATAGATAGATAGATAGATAGATAGATAGATAGATAGATAGATAGATAAATAGATAGATAGATGCCTTGCTGTTTTTTTGCTCTTTTGTTATATTCAAAGGTAAAACCAAAATAATAACTACTCCGTCTCAAGATGTGGGACAAGTCCCTTCTATATTAGAGACAGCCAGTATGGGTCTGTTTCTGAAAATAGCCACTCACATCGGACACTTTGATGTTTCCTTTTGTCAGATGTAATCAGTGCTAATGAGAGAGGGCAGGCAGAAGAGAGGAACAGACCTACATCAGAAGTACTGAGAACAAAGACTGAAATGGACCAGTGTCACAGCCTCATCCATATTACCTCCACTGGCCCAACCTAATAACCTTCAGATAAGATCTCATGTAACATTAATGTTGAACGTGTTTTCTTTCTTAAAAACAGCTGGTCTCTTCAACTAAGCTTTTGGCTAAAATCCTATGTTAGATTGTAATAGATGCCCCAATGCTCATCAGCGTTATTCTTTATGCTCAAAATGTTCAGAATCATTTGTCTCTATTTTTATTTTTCATTCTTAATAAATATAGTTTTGCAAAAATAATAGCAGCTACCAATATTTTTCTTATTATCTTTTGATCCAAATTCAGCATTTAAACGTCCATGGCAGTGATCTTACTATGCAGGGCACCTCTTTATTTTAGCAGTCTTTTCAAAAGCTGTGACATCTCCTGACCACAACCTATTTAGGAGACCTCAGATTATCTGTCAGCCTTAGATGTAACGTCTGGTGTCTCCAGGATCTCTATTTTCCACTGCTATTGTTTATTTAGAAGCAGGACACCAGTAGAGAGCTGAAAATTTGAATACATCTTCATATTCAGATTTCTACAGATGAACTGACCGATAATTTCACCAACTGTGACAAAAAAGCCAAATCCATCTGGAAAAAAAAAAAAAAAACATGAACTCAGATTTGTCTTCACATGTTTTATCCTCTGAGTTCTGATAACTGACTTTAATAAATTGTTTATTTAATACTTTGTATTTATCTTTATACTAATCTCCTGGATAACCAATNATAGATAGATAGATAGATAGATAGATAGATAGATAGATAGATAGATAGATAGATAGATAGATAGATAGATAGATAGATAGATAGATAGATAGATAAATAGATAGATAGATAGATAGATAGATAGATAAATAGATAGATAGACATTTTCCCCCTAATAAATTAACTAATCCTTTGAAAACTGCTTCCTCTTTGTTTTTTTTTCTCTCATGTTTTTGAAGTGTTTGCTTACTGTTCTAAAACAACATAATGACAAATTCTGTTTTATTTTTGGTCTGGTTTACTCTTTTTCTATTGTTGTTTATGCCTGGCTGTTCTCTGTTTAACTGCAGTCTTTTGTATTTTAATGCAGCCATTGTGAGAGGGATCCAAAATCATTATTTTTATCCCGTAAAATTGCTTTGTGCTTGTTATGTATTTTTTTTTATCTCATTAATTACTTTTTGTTTTTGTTTTTTATTTCAGAGCATATAATATTAATACCCCAACCCCCATGCTCCTCCCTTCAGCCACAAAGGTTGTTGTATCTCCCATATTATCTCTAGCAGTCTACTGATCTACCCAGCAAAGGCTGCCAACTTGTCACAAAACTGTTTTATGTATTAGGTAATTTATTACATGGTTTAGTCTACTTTACTTAGCATTAGTCATCCATGTTAGGGGGTGTTTGTAGGATATTTGGTCCACAGGAAAACAAGGTCAGTTATATTCTGGGCTTTTTGCTCTGGTGTCAAAGTATATCTGATAAATGAGGGGCACAGATAAAATGGGTAAAAAGATTTCCGCTGAAAAGGGTGGAATTACTTTTAACAGCTACCTATTTTAGTATGCTGCCTTAACCATGATCTAATTTGGTCCCTGGCTATTAACAGTTATCTCTAATTAATTATACTACCCACAATGTGATAAATTGCTGTAAAACAGTGGTCAAGGTTATCTGTTGCTACATGCCAACTATTTTCGTCGTCTTTAACTCTGGCTTTGCAGTCGGCAATAAATTACTCATACGGGCTGTAAACAAAAGATATGGCGGGGTGAAAAGTTTAGCCTTTCTCATAAACCTATAATCAGCCCTGGTTCTGTTAAAACAGTTGCTGATTTGATCATCAAGGTGGTGATTTGCAATGTTTCTCAGAACTTGCAATAATTTATGCATAACTGACTTTAATATAGAGGTATGATTAGGTCAGATCACTGTTATAAAATGATTTTACATTTGTTTCTCTTGCTTTAAAGAAACAACTTTTTTCCAACATTGACATGCTCTAAAGTTGTTTTTTGTGTGTTTTTGTAATCTGAAGTAAGCACACAGTTATAAAGATATTGCATTAGGTGATATTTTCGCCTTTGGACTGATTTGACAAGCTCTCCAAATCATTGAGCTGACCTGCAAGCAACCTCATCTTGCAAGTCCAAATTAAGATAAGGAGAGGTTGTCAGAGAGTCAAACAGATGAACTTCTCATGACATGGTCCTATCTTATCTTTTACAAGGAAGTTTGGCGTCATGAAAAAAAGCTCAGCGTCGTCCTCTAAAATAACATAAGAGACATGTTAGAGTATAGTTTATAAAGCTTAAGCTGAACAAAAACTATACATGGGGGAAGATTTGGGGTGTTATGTTTCAAAAGAAAGAAGCAGAACTCCTTTTAGAAGTTCAGTTTATTGGTAAATGAAAAGCTCATTTAGTTAGTTACATACCTGCAGTCTTATCTCACTTTGCACGTACAGCATAGAATGTAACACATTTTTTTACAATTAAAGGGACATTCTGTTGACTATGGTACAATAATGCATAAAGTTTTTTCTTACAAAAATATATATAAAAATATTTTTACATTTTAAGACATTTAGGGGGCAATTATTATGTCATAGCAGAGATTTCGCTGAATGTGTGGGTAGGAGTGTGTGCTGGTCAAAGCTGCCTGCGTCGGGGTGGATCTGAAGTACAGCCTCGACTGCACCGGGTCAGGTGTCCAACGAGACAGCCAGAACATTGATTCTAGAGGCGCTTTCTTGGAAGAGACAAAGAGGGGAAAAAAAATCTATAATTTTCCTGTTGTTTTACACTGAAAACCATATTTTATTATTTGTCATAGTACCTCATAATAAAGTAAGGGATGACTGGTTAAATGTTGGCTGGTCATCACTTCTATTTCCTTCATGGTTTCAGCCTTTCTCCACTTAGCCCTGCGGTTCTGAAACCAAATCTGAAGCACAACAGCACAGATAAGAAAATACATTTTAGTAGAATGTGACAGCTGCATAGCAATGAAACAAAGGTGTTGTTTTAGAGGCACTAAATGGAGAGCAGTTTAAGAGATGTGCTGGATTACCCTGTCAAGGTCAATTAGCCGTTTACTGCCAAAGTCAGAAAAAGTCCCAGATAAAAAAAACAACAGTGCATTTAAACAGACATCCTATTGCATTCATGCCATAAGATATTCAATTGTGGATAACTTTAAAAATCATCAATTCTTACTCCAGAACAAAAAAGTTTTACTTTTTTCTCATTATATTTGTATACGGAAATAATATCAAAGATAAAGTTTTAGAATATTTTTATGTCTATGAATATGCAGAGCCATTAATCGTTTTATTGAAAAAGCTTTTTTTTTTTTCTTTTTAGGAGATTATAAGAGATCACCTCTGTTTATTAAGGTAAAGCACAGTATATAGATCAGGGGTCTGCAACATGTGGCTCCACAGCAACATATGGCTCTATGGAGCCTCCACAATGGCTCAATAAATTTGAATTTTGAAATACCAGTCTTAAATGCTTGCATTTACTTAAATATTTAAAGTGAATTGCGTTAAAAGAACCAGACTTTTTTTTTAAATCTATTTTTTCTTATATTTAGCTTGGAAATTATATATTTTAAACATAATTGACCTTGAATAATATTCTATTTAAGAAAATCCACGCTTCTTCTTTTTTTTCCTGGTATTTCAAAACTTAAAAATACAAATTAAATTGTCTACAATATGAACATATTACCTGTGTCAGATATTGTACAAATATAAGTTTTCTTTTATTAAAAGGTCATGTTGCATTTAAATCTAAATGACTTTTTTTCGCTGGACTTTTACCATCCATCTCATTTTGGGAAATTCTCGCCTATTTTGCAAACCCAAATTGAAAAGCAAAAAACTTAGGACTATAAACCCAAATTACATGTGTGATACATTATTTCAAAGCTAACATCTTAGTTTCTGAATATATAAATGTAAATAGGGTGAGTAAAACACAGCCCAAACTGCATCAGTTCAAACATTGTTGTTTTTTTAATTCTTGAAAATAATAGGTGTTTTTTGAACAGCAGTAATAAAGACATGCTTGCTTTTTGTGGCCATGTTTACAATTTGAGATGCTGCTATAGCTGTGTTAATTGTAGCCTGGTGCTCGCTGTGTCCATAAAATGAACTTGGTTGAATTGTGGAGAATCTAAGTTTTCCAACGATGTCAAAGATGTCTACATTAGTAAACATTTTACCAGTGTAATGTTCATACATTCTGAGTTATTAGTTGAAAACGCTTTAAAACGGGTTTGCAGCAACCTGATAAATTTAAGGAGGTCAAAAGGCTCTTTGCATTTTAAAGGTTGCAGATTCTGATATAGATCACAAGCTGACGCTTAAGCCTTCATTTCTGTTACTTATGCATATCTGATGAAAACATGATCGTAAGAAAGATTAGAATATTACACAAGACCAATAGAAGAAGCCATTTCAATACAAAATGTGTGTTTTAAAAAAAAATTAAATCTGCTCACCTTTTCTTATTTTCAAAGGTACTTTTAATCTCACAAATGGGGCTCATGGAAACACATATTCTCATGTACTGAAGATGAATATTTTCTGATTATAAGTAAACAGGTGTACCTGTATTCGTCCCTCAGTGAGCTGAAGGCGCGAGGCTAACTCATCTCTAGTGTTGACGTCTGGATAGTGAGTCTGCTGGAAAACTGTCTCCAGCTCCTGCACCTGGAATGGTGTGAAAGTCACCCTGGTTTGCCTTTTCCTCTTCTGACCTGTAACTGAACAATTCTTTATTATTCCTTGTTTTAAGCATTTAGAGTAAATAAACGTCCTATTTATAGGAATGTAATCCACTAATTTTGCAAATATTATACTTACCTTTACTTTCTTTGGCAGCCTTTGGAGACTCTTCACATATTTTTTGTTGAAAATCTATCAACAGATCCAACATCTAAGCTTCAACGGGAAATCTTTCTTTTAAGGTTACATTATAAACCATACTGTTAATAGTAGATTTGAAATATTACCTGTGTTAGAGTTCTGGTTGTGTACCTGAGTGTTTTCTTTAATTACAGACCAGTTTCGATGAACTCTTTCAACTTTTCTGATATGTGTTGGTCTTCTTAGGATTTCTTCAATAGAGTGGGAAATGTTTTTGTTTTGTTGTGCTTCTCTTTCTTCCTCCGCATTGATCTGTTTTTCTCTGTTTTCTCCTGTCCACATATCCAAAAGTTTGTCTCCCATCATCAGCATACTCGTCATCATAAGTCCCTTTTGGATAAAAGCTGAAGATATTTAAGATTCAAAAGATCTCCTCTGTCAGTCGTTGTCCTGCATAAGGATCCCTCAGGGTAAACAAATTCTGCAGTGTTCCCTCAGTCAGAAAATGACAATGTGGTTTCCTTCCTCCACAGGCAGTCTATGTTTGACCTGCATCACATGTTCATCATGTAGGTGGAGCATCAGAGGAGACCAGAATATTTCCAGGAAAACATCAATAATTATCCTACAATGCATTCATCCAATTAGTGGAAACTCTCAGTGTTTTACAGAACACTTATAGATTTGACCTTTCTCAGTTTGATCAAGAGGAATGATAACTTCCAACATTGCATAATAAACTGCAGACAACCTATAATCTTAGTAGCTTGATTGAAACTTAGGTAATATTCAACTACAAAACACATTTGCTTCTCTTTCTTATCACCTGATTTACAGCTAATTCTTATCACCTTGGCCTTGATATCCTTTCTCACCCTGCTGTTCTCCTTGTCCATTCAGAAACTCGGGAAAGATTCATCACATTATAAAAAGAGCCCTTAATTAGGGAATTTGTCTCCCTCTAGTGGTCTCTGTTAATAGTTGACAGTTCTGTCAAGACATTTCCAGTATATTGTAACTGAAGCTCTATTTTGTATTACAAAAGGAAATAGAAAAAATAGAAAACATATATATTTTTTATTTTTATATTCAAGGTAAAATATTCAACTTAAGGGTTGGAAAAAGATACAAGAAGTTCAATAATATCAGATTTCCAAGAAGGAATATCAGGGTAGTCTATCCAACCACAACCTTAACATCAAGTATTGGCTGCTTTACGTCTGTTCCAAATTGACCATATGCAACATATACTGTAGATTCTTTACTGCCCCTAAAGTAAGTTACATGTAGATGTTAATAGCAGTAGGCTGGAAGGATTTCCTCTATCATCTGAAGAAGCCTTTGAGTGAAGACACTCTGTTGTCGTTTGACAGTCTATTGAAGAGTATAATCAGCATTTTCCATAATATTCTTTATTTGATCAACGATGCTTCATGGTAAAAATAATCTTCAGGAGGTTCTTAGGAGTTCCCACAACAGAGTTGGTGTTTTTTATTTTTATTTTTTTCCAAAGGATTCGCTCCTATGTTACTACCCCCAACAGATGATTGTAGAAGAGATCATAGGTATAACAGGGAGATACCTGATCTATGTCCAAAATGCACAGAGGATAGAGGGACTCTGGTCCACTGTAAGTGGTATTGCAGAGTATAAAAACTGGTATACAGTTTTGGAAAGAAGTACAAGGTGCTATAGAAAACATAATAAACAGATAATATTTGAGCCAAGGTTGTTTGTGTTTGGATTATTCCTTGAAAAACATATTTACACAAAAAATGAAAGAGTGTTTATAAACTTAAGTTTACTTATTGCAAAGAAATGTATATCTATATATTGGAAAAAGACTCACAGACCGAGCATACACCAATGGCTGCAGCAGATGTTATCTGTCCTTCCTCTGGAAAAAATCATGTATATATTAAAGGACAAACAGGACCTGTTTGAATCTATTTGGAACTCCTTCATTAATTATGTTAAGACTCTGAATATCTAAAAAAAAAAAAAGTGCAAGTGATTGAAGAACAAGTGAACCGCAGTTTCCAAAGACAATTTATTGGAGGACAAATACCGTCAACTTTAATTTTCATTATAAGAGGCTAAGTATGAAATGTGATCAGTTGCATTGGAGTAAATGTTGTGGGAGGCAATTTGTTGTCTGTATTTTATTTTGACTTGAACAGTAACGTAAATATTGCTGTGATTACATTCTGTATATTGTTCAAGATGTTTGTTTAAATTGCTAAAATTTGAATAAATATATTTTGGGGAAAAAAATAAAAAAGAAGAGATCATACTCTCAGCAACATATAGAAGATAGACTTATATAAGATGTACGCATCCTGCTGCAAACACTGAAGGATCCAAGCTTCCGCAAAAAATAACGTCTGCTCTGTCAGTTCTTTTAGACAGATTACCAGTTGCTTCAAAGCAAACAGCAGGTGGTCCTTGAAGTTGTTTTTTGCCTGCTTAGGTGTAATAGAGTCTTTGTAAGATATTTTGATGTGGGATGTCAGGGTAAAAGTAGAATTGGTAGCTGAGTTTTCTTTGGCACTTAACAATACAGGAGGACTTCCACATTACTGCTTCCTTGGCCACACTAAGGTAAATAGTGGCTCTAGAATCCCACAGAGCTGCTCTGCACAGGCCGGTCAAGACTCTGGGGTTGACACCATCAGCACCTGATGCTGGGCGGATTGCTTTGGAGATGAACGGGTAGTTGAAATTTGCATTTAACATGTCTGAAGTGTTGATTTCTTTGGAGGAGTGGCTGACAAACTCTTGGAAGTTTTGAGTGTATGACAGAGTAGGGCGTGATTAGTGGCATTAGTTATTATCACAAATTCATTGGGCTGTTGTGTCTGTAGCTTAGCAACAGTTGAACTGATGTCATAATACAGAGTTCTGGCAACAGCAGATGAAGTGCAAACAAGTGCCAAAATAACACTTGTGAACTCCCTGGGTAAATAAAAAGTTCAATGCCTTGGCTGTAGAGATGAATCTTCACACATGTCCTGGATGACATTGTCTGTTGTTTTAAAGCACTGCAAAGCCACCTTCCTTGCTTTTGCTGCCTAGCTTTAAATCTTTGTTCATGTAATCAGAAAGTCAGGCCGAGAAACACTCAAGTCCAGGAAATGATCCTGCAGCCATGTTTCAGTGAAACACAAAAATCTAATACTCAAGATTCTGTCAGGGTCTTTGCTAGGGCTGTGAGTTATTTTAGCTTGTTTGCTAAATATACATATAAATAAAACAAATACACTTTATTGGGATCTTTGGAACATTGTACCCCAGTAAGTTTTTTGCACTCATAAATTAATGTTCAACCCCTGTAGATAAATAGGGTCCCATAGTGTTTGAATATATATAATAACAAACAGTAGTTGACTTTCTCACTAAGTATGAACTCGAACATATCCTATCTGTTTTCTGACTGTTATATAAAACATGTGTAGGCTGGGTTTCTAGATCAAATATTAGAGGCACATTTCAGCCCTAAACTATTCATAAAAATGAAGCTCTAGCGGAAGTTCAATTGAAGAAACTCTGGCTTACCTCCATCCAATCAGAAGCTGATCCGTCTCTGACGTGAGCCAATCAGCTTCGAACTACTCCACCACGAAGCCCAATCAGCATCCTGCTTTCACTTCATAAGCACCTTCAAATCCCCGTCTCAGCCCGCTATCCAGCAAACGCAATGTCAGATTTTATTCAGACGACAATTCACCCACCTCCATCCCCTCCTCCGCCATCGTAATTGAGTCGTCTTCCATGACATGACTTCTACCCCAACCTCATCAGAGAGTATTAATCCCAGTCGTCACCATCCCTCGTCTCATTGCAATTGGTCCGGCAGAGACCACCATGTTGAGCCCGGTTCTGCCAGAGGTTTCTTCCCAAAGGGGAGTTTTTCCTCTCCACTGTCGCTTCATGCTTGCTCATCATGGACAGTTCATGGTACCTGCATCACCAAGCAAGACCTCTACATCCTGAGTCTCTGAGTGAAGCCCCGGTGTCAGCTCCTGTAGTCTCTGGTCCCACAACACAGCTCAAGCAGATCACCTCGTTAACCAGCTCGAACTAAACCACCACCAGCTTCAGGCCAGGGGAAACATCCCTATTCTCATTCATCTACTTATGCATGTTAAAGCATAATTCAGCATGAATGTTCCTGCCGAGGCCTGAGCGCCAAAGACTATACTTTCTTATTAATAAAATTCTTCCAATTATCTTTTCTCTCTGTGCGAGTTTTTCAGATTGAAATGGCAGATTGTAATTTAAACCTCTTTCCATTTAACCCAGTGACTATGACTTTGGCTGTTAGAAAATGACAATATTACTTCCTGTTAGAAAAAACATGTTGGTAAAATTAAAATATATATTTAAAGTTAAAATATGTCAGAGCTAAGAATATTTTTGGCCTTGTCGTCATACTGCAGGCCTGGTGTCTCTCTCTCTCTCTTCTCTGCAGGGCATGATGGACAGGTGCGGTTCATCTCTGTTAATTTGGAGCCCCCTTTAAGGAGCTTGGACCAGGAGGAGGACGTCAAGGCCAGGTTTCTGAGACGTTCAGGGTGTAAACGTGGTCGGGTAGGAGCCTGGAAATGGATGGTCGTTTGGTGCATGGCGCGTGTTTTGAAGTCGCTTGTGGAGAAATGTCCTGGCCCATGAGTAGTGAGGAAACAGGAAGCGATTTTTGTGGGATGGAAGAGGGAAATAGTGACAATGAAGAAGGTTGGAAGATAGCAACGTCAAAAAATGAGAAAAAGCGGAAAAAGCAGAGATCAGTTGAAGGGGAGTCCAGTTTAGAACAATCAAGTTATGATCAATCCATACATTCCACAACAAAACAAAATGAATACAAAGTCATATTCAAAGTCGTTAATCAGGCAGACTCTTTTACAAATTGGAATCTGGTTCACTTTACAAAAAACATAAATAAACTTGTTGGAGAAGTCAGAGGTGCCAGAATCCTGTACAGTGGAGACCTGTTAATAAACTGCAGAGACAGCGCCCAGCAAGGCAAAGCCATACGAATCAACAAAATTGACGGGATAAGAGTTCAGTGCAGTTTAGTGGAGAACAAAAAGATCACCAGGGGAGTCATTGGAGGAGTTCCTCTAAGAGTGTCTGAAAAGGAAATTCTAGAAAACATAAGTGGTGCAAAAATAAAAGAAGTAAAACGGTTAAAAACAACAAGAAACGGAGAAAGATCTGACAGTTTATCTGTGTTAATTAAATTCGAGGAAGAGCAATTACCCAGTAAAGTTTTCATTAGTTACATCAGCTGTAATGTTAAAATCTACAATCCTCCACCTTTGAGATGTTTCAAATGCCAAAAATTCAGACACATAGCAGCAGTTTGTAAAGGAAAAAAGAGATGTGGAAGGCGTGCAGGAGAACATGAATACAAAAAATGTGGAAAAGAAGCTCAAATCAAATGCTGTAACTGTGGTGGAGAACATACTGCTGCATATCGCGGCTGTG